CGAACTTGGTGGCGGGTGCTGACCTACAGGATGGGGGGGTTGACCAGTTCACCCCTGCTCGTCAGCGGGTGACCCACTGCACGTGTGCAGACACGGGCCGACACTTGGCCACGTTTACCCGTCGGCCGGGGTCGAGCCTGTACACCCTCACTACCGAGTCTCCTCCGGTTACTGTGCCTGGTCAGGTAGCTGCGTCAGGTCAGGTGTTTGCTGCAGCGTCTCGGTCTGGCCCTCAGTCTGCCCCCTGTTCGTGTCGCCTCCTGTCCCACGAGACTCTTCTCTGGCACCACCGCCTTGGTCACCCCTCCCTGCCTCGCCTCCGAGGCATGGCCTCCCGTGTCCTTGTCTCTGGTCTCCCCCGGTCTCTCCCTCCCCTTCCTCCGGGGCCTGCCCCTACCTGCGTTCCCTGCGTCGAGGGGCGGCAGCGCGCCGCTCCTCACTCCTCCGAGTTTCCGCCGACAGAGGCTCCGCTGCAGACTCTTCACATGGACGTGTGGGGCCCAGCCCGCGTCCGTGGACAGGGTCACGAGCGCTACTTCCTGCTGGTGGTTGACGATTACTCGCGTTACACCACAGTCTTCCCCTTGCGCCGCAAGGATGAGGTCACTGAGGTGTTGATCGACTGGATCCGCGCTGCTCGTCTCCAGCTCAGGAAGAGTTTCCGCTCTGACTTTCCTGTTTTGCGTCTGCACTCCGACAGAGGTGGGGAGTTTTCCTCAGGCCCTCTGCGAGCCTACTGTCGTGCGAGGGGCATCCGCCAGACGTTCACGCTTCCGGCCTCTCCGCAGCAAAATGGGATTGCTGAGCGCCGCATTGGCATGGTCATGGATGTCGCTCGTACGTCCATGATTCATGCGGCTGCTCCCCATTTTCTGTGGCCGTTTGCGGTTCAGTACGCGGCGCGTCAGATCAACCTTCAGCCCCGGGTTGCCATGCCGGGGACCTCCCCCACTCTGCTGTGGACGGGGAAGGTTGGCGATGCGTCTGCGTTCCGTGTCTGGGGATCTCGGGCTTTTGTCCGAGACTTGTCTGCGGACAAGATGTCCTCCCGTGCTGTTCCCTGCGTCTTCCTTGGCTTCCCCCCTGACGCGCCTGGTTGGCAGTTTTACCACCCCACCTCGCGCCGTGTTCTGTCCTCCCAGGACGTCACGTTTGACGAGTCGGTTCCGTACTACCGTCTCTTCCCCTACCGCGCTGCCCCCCTCCCCCCCTCGCCGCTTTTCCTTACGCCAGGTCCCCCCCCGGTAGACCCCCTCCCCCCTCGTCTGGGGGTTCGGAGTCTGGGGGTGCTGAGCCAGCGCGTCAGGAGCCTGGAGGTTCTGCGCCTGGGGGTGCTGTGTCTGGGGGTGCTGAGCCTGTGTGTGCGGAGTCTGGGGGTGCTGAGTCTGGCGGTGAGACGCTTGAGGGTACTGGGACTGCTGGTGCGCGGCCTACTTGGAGTGGCCGCCTTCGTCCACGTGTGCCTCTCACCCCTCAGCAGCTGCACGACTGGTACGGTCGCCGTCAGCGTCGCGCTGCTGGAGCCCGGGACTCTGCTGCTCGAGGTACTGGAGCTGCTGGGGCTGGGGGTGCTGCGCCTGGAGGTGCTGCTGTGGGAGACGCTGCGGCTGGAGACCCTGGGACTGGAGGTGCTGGTTCTGGGGGTGCTGCTGCGGGAGACGCTGCGGTTGGAGACCCTGGGACTGGAGGTGCCGGTTCTGGGGGTGCTGCTGCGGGAGACACTGCGGTTGGAGACCCTGGGACTGCAGGTGCCGGTTCTGGGGGTGCGGCTGCTGGTGACGCTGGTTCTGGAGCTGCTGGCGCTGGAGGTACCGGTTCTGAGGCTGGAGCTTCTGGAGCTGCTGGAGGCGCTGGCGCTGCTGGAGGTGCTGGCGCTGCTGGAGCTGCTGGAGCTGCTGGAGCTGCCGGAGCTGGTACAGCTGCGCCGACACGACTGTTCTTCGCTCCGCCGTCTCCGTCGTCGCTGCCGCCGCCTGACTCTCTTCTTCGTCAGGTTCTTACTCTCCCGTCGTCCACTGGTCTTCCGTTACCGGCTGGCTCACCGCTGCCTGCTCCTTCTCCTTACACTGAGCAGACAGGTAGTCTTGCTGAGCGTCGTGAGCCTGTGTCGCGTCCTGTCTCGCCTGTTCGTCCTGGTCGTACCGGTCGTCGTGTCGCTCGTGCGCGTCAGCAGACTGTCCCCAGCGCACACCTTGTCGTCCGTCGTCCTTCCTCTGCTCCGCAGTCTGCTCCTCTGCCTTCCCCACCTGCGTCCTCTCTGCCTGTCGTTCCGGACCCTGAGTCTGACCGGTTTCATGCTGAGCACCCCACAATCACGCGTCTGTTAGCCACAGTTGTCACTGACCCGTCGTTTGAGTCTACTGCTGCGTCTGCCTTAGTCGCTGAGCTTGTTGACTTTGCTGCTACCTGTCGTCTAGACTACGCCGCTAGTCTTGTTGCTGAGTCTGAGTCTGTCTGTCCTCCGTCCGACGGGGGTGAGTGTGCTCTTAGCACGGACGTCCTTGAGGACAGGCAGGAGGAGTTTGAGTGCTTTGCGGCTGCTGTACCTCATCTCGTGTCCATGCTGATTGCACCTGAGGGAGACCCGGATGCACCAGACATCCCGACCCCGCGCTCTTACGCTGAGGCGATCGCGGGTGAGTACTCCTCTCAGTGGCAGACAGCCATGGACGCAGAGATGGCATCCTGGAAGTCCACTGGCACTTACGTCGACGAGGTTCCCCCTCCTGGGGCGAACATCGTCAGTGGCATGTGGATTTTCAGGGTGAAGCGGCCGCCAGGCTCTCCGCCCGTCTTCAAGGCTCGTTACGTTGCTCGAGGCTTCAGTCAGCGAGAGGGAGTTGACTTCTTCCAGACCTTCTCCCCCACCCCGAAGATGACCACTCTTCGGGTACTGCTGCACGTTGCCGCTCACCGTGACTACGAGCTTCACTCTCTGGACTTCAGCACAGCTTTCTTGCAGGGCAGCCTGCACGAGGAGATCTGGCTGCGCCGCCCTCCTGGCTTCACTGGGTCGTTCCCTCCTGGTACCCAGTGGAGGCTCCAGCGGCCAGTCTACGGTCTCCGCCAGGCGCCACGTGAGTGGCACGACACACTGAGGACGACACTTGCGGCTCTTGGGTTTGCTCCGTCGACCGCGGACCCGTCGCTGTTTCTGCGCACCGACACTTCACTGCCGCCGTTCTACATCCTCGTGTACGTCGACGACTTGGTCTTTGCCACTGCTGACACTGAGGCTCTTGCCCTGGTGAAGTCGGAGCTGCAGAAGAGACATACGTGCACAGACCTGGGTGAGCTGCGCAGTTACCTTGGCTTGCAGATCACCCGGGACAGAGCACGCCACACCATCACACTGACTCAGTCACACATGGTGCAGCAGGTCCTTCAGCGCTTCGGCTTCACCTGGTCCTCAGCACAGGCCACTCCTCTGGCGACAGGTCACTCGCTCTCAGCTCCACCTTCGGACGAGTTCGTAGAGCCGAGTGGTCCTTACCCAGAGCTAGTTGGCTGCCTCATGTACCTGATGACTTGCACTCGTCCAGACCTCGCGTACCCTCTAGGCCTTCTGGCTCGCTACGTGGCTCCTGGTAGGCACCGAAAGGTGCACATGGATGCTGCTAAGAGGGTGCTGCGTTACTTGTGCAGTACATCGGGCATGGGGCTCGTGCTTGGAGGACGGGGCGACGTTGTCCTCACTGGGCACTCAGACGCTTCTTGGGTTGACGACCAGGCTACGCAGCGGTCGTTACAGGGTTACACCTTCAGCCTTGGCTCCGGCTCTGTTTCTTGGCGTTCTACTCGCTCGTCTTCTGTTCTCAACTCCAGTTGTGAGGCTGAGATCTACGCCACAGCCATGGCTGCACAGGAGTTGCGCTGGCTCACCTACCTGCTGACCGACCTGGGAGAGCGGCCTCGTTCTCCTCCAGTGCTGTACGTCGACAACAAGGCTGCCATTGCCTTGTGTGAGGAGCACAGACTGGAGCACAGAACGAAGCACATCGCTCTGCGTTACTTCCTGGCTCGAGAGTTGCAGCAGCGAGGCCAGCTTCGTCTCCGTCACGTGGACACTCGGGCCAATACTGCTGATATATTCACCAAGGCACTTCCGTCTGGTGATCATCAGCGCTTTTGTACCTTGTTGGGCCTTGTGCCGACGTTTCCACACTTGCTGTAGTCTCTCCTTGTACTGTGATCTATATATATACTTGCATGCTTGCTCTTGCTAGCTTGAGATCACTGTACTGTTCTTGTTGCTTATATACCTCTGCATGTGGACTGGCCCTGTGGCCGTTTGCTTGTGCTCAGTTTGAGTGGTGACGTTGTGATCCACCCTGAGCTGTGTTTTGTCTCTTGACTGGTCTTGTGACCGTTGCTTGCTCTGGCTATCCCCCATTTCACCTATGGGGGTGTGTCAAATATATACACATATTATTATCTAGGTTGTATTGGGGATAGCTCTAGGGGGTACAAACATTTCACTCGACACTCTCTTCCTTGTACCCCAAACCTTGACCTAACTCATCATCCTTTGCCTAGGCATCTATGGCTTCTTATCAAGTGAGTTCGGTAAACAAATCGATATACAGATCGCAGATAACAACTTAACAAGTTGTACAGTATTTTAGAAATGATACACGAGGGTGTAGCTGGAACAAATGACAAGAGGTTTTGGTTGGCTAGCTGGAAAGCTATGTCCCGCAACTTCAAACTCGAACCTTACGCGTCACCTTCGAAACCTTCGCACAACCTGCGCTAAACATACCCTCAGAGCTGCGGCAACATATTCTCGACCTTCCCTCAGCCAGCGCCATAGTTTTGGGGTGCGAACGTAGGCTTTTCAGAATCTACGTCACACCCCTCACCATTTTTGGGATTCCCTTAGGAGAGCTTTGAACAAGAGACGCGACTCGTGCAGCAAGAGCGGGTCGCAGCAGTAAGCCGCTGCAGCCATGGCGGGGGATGACCAGCAGATGTGCCTCGTGTGCTTTAGCGTCAGCTGCATGGAGAAGGTACAGTTTCGACTTCGCGTACTAGATCCGTGTCAACTGCATGTCGCACCAGGGTCAACTGTCGTGTGCGTTACTACAGGATAGCTTCACGGAGCAGTAGCCTTCGAATGCCGATTGGAATGTCCGCAACAGCGCCGATACGTCGACGTGAGAACCGCGCAACGAGGTGACTTTTGAGTCGACTCAAACGTCACCTCGTTTGAATGCCGATTGGAATGTCCGCAACAGCGCCGATCCGTCGACGTGAGAACCGCGCAACCCACTGCCTTCCCACTCCCCGTCCTCCTCCTCCCCTCCCTCCCTTGCGCGCGCCCGGCAGGACGCGCACACGGGCGCCATGTGGTGCAGCGAGTGCGGCATGGTGAGGATGCCTCTTGAGGCGCCTCAAACGGCCACTCCCTCCATCCCCCTCCCTCCCCCACCCCACTCCGCCCCCATCAGGACGACCACACGGGCGCCATGCGGTGCAGCGAGTGCGGCATGGTGTCGCAGCAGTTCCACCCCCCTCCGCCCAACCCCTCCCCCATCCCCCTCCTCCCCCACCCCACCCCACCCCACCCCGCACCCATCAGGACGACCACACGGGCGCGATGCGGTGCAGCGAGTGCGGCATGGTGTCGCAGCAGTTCCGCGAGGAGGACAACGAGGGCGGCGCGGCCGGCGCGCCGGGGGCGGGGGGGATGGGCGCGGGGATGGGGATGGGGATGATGGGGTCGCGGGCGGTGGTGCGCGAGAGCAACGTGGCGCTGCACCAGCAGCGGCAGGAGGTCGCTGCGGCTGATGCTGCCAGGGCTGCGCAGGCTGTCAGCCTGCAAGTGCAGGTGGGACGGTTGGGTGGGGTGGGGCGGCAAGGCAAGTGCAGGGGGGGCTTCATCCTGCGTCTATCTGGCTCTTGAAGTGCAGGTGGGGCGTGGATTTGAGTGCACATGGTGCGTTGACTGGGACGACAAGGTAAGTGCACTGGCTGGCCGTGCAGGCGGTGGTGCGCGAGAGCAACGTGGCGCTGCACCAGTAGCGGCAGGAGGTCGCTGCGGCTGATGCTGCCAGGGCTGCGCAGGCTGTCAGCCTGCAAGTGCAGGTGGGACGCTGAGAGTCGTTGAGAGCAAGTGGGGCGCTGAGAGTCGTTGAGAGCAGGTAGGGCGTTGAGAGTCGTTAATTGCCAAGGGGCTTACGACAGTGGTGGTGCGCGAGAGCAAAGTGGCGCTGCACCACGTTGGATTCGTGTGCAGGTGGGGCGTTGACTGGCACGACAAGGTGCACTGGCGTCGCATGCGGTAAGTGCACCAGCAGCGGCAGGACGTCGCTGCTGCTGACGCCGCCAGGGCTGCTCGCGCTGTCAGCCTGCAAGCGCAGGTGGGGCGTTGAGTGGGCGAAAGTGCAGGGGGCTTACAATGGTGCTGATGGTGAGGGCGAGAGATTGTGACCACATGCGTCCTCGCCTCCTCATGTGTTCCTGCTCTGCTCTCTGTCCCTTGCCCGCATTCCCTCTCAACAGGGTTTCGGGTTTAGGGGACCATGCGCCATGTACGCTTGCAAACTGCGAGGAGAGCACAATTTTCCCCCTCTGCCTGCCACTACTGCACCGTCCCCCCGTCCACCCCCCCTCTTTTCCTCCCCACCTCACCCCTTTCCATGGTCCAAACCCCCCCCCCCCTTCCTTCTCCACCCCGCCCTGTCTCGCCCACCCCGCTCTCCCTTCCCCCCAGGCGCATGCCCTGGCGGAGCACTACTGCACGGGGGTGCACGCCATGCTGGCCCGCCAGTGCCACGCCTTGCCTTCCACTACCGCTGCCCCCTCCCCCATCACCACCTTTCCCACCACCTTACCCCCCTTTCCACCCACCCCCCTTCCACTCCCCCCCATCCCCCAGGCACACGCCCTGGCGGAGCACTACTGCACGGGGGTGCACGCCATGCTGGCCCGCCAGTGCCACGCGCTCTCCGCCCTGCTCGCCCCGCCCCCACCTGCACCCACGCAAAAGCCCACCGGGGAGGCCGGGGAGCGCAAGGAGCAGGACACTGCTGCTGCTGCCTCTGCTTCTGCGGCTACTGGCAATGCAGCGGCGCTGAGCAGTGTGGCGCGGCAGATCCTGCTGCGCCTCGTGCTGCACTCGGGTGTGCTCCGCGCGGGGTATGCCGAGCGCTGCTGGCTGCTGTGGCGCGTGGGTGAGGGCGCAGGTGAAGGCGCAGGCGAGGGCGCAGGGGGTGGGGGGCAAGCTTGGGGGGAAGGGGACGGGGGCGCAGGGGGGGTTGGGGGAGGGGGAAGAGGGGAAGATGGATGGGGAGGAGAGGCGAAGTCTGGTGGAAGGAAGAGAAGAGGTGGAGGTGAGATGGGAGGGGAAGGGGGGGAAGCACTGCAACGGGAGATGGCAGGGTGGGGCATGGGGGGCGGGAGTGGGGGCTTTGGGGGAATGGGGGGCGCGGCTGCGCAGGGGGCAGGCGGAGAGGGGAGAGACGCAGAGGGGAAGGGCGCAGGGGGCAGTGCGGGGCAGGAGGAGGAAGGGGAGGAGGGGGATGAGTGGGCGCGGGAGCTGCGGGCGATTCTGGCGGGCGCGAGGCGGAGCAGGCGGCAAGAGAGGGAGGAGGCGAGGAAGCGGGCTCGGAAGGCGCGGAGGAAGAAGTGGGGGGGGCAGTTTGAAGCGGAGTTGCAAGCCATTCAGGAGGACGAGGCAGCTGAGAGGCGGGATGGAAGTGAGGGGATGGGGGGGGATGGGATGGGAGTGGAAGGGGAGGGAGAGGAGGAGGGGGGAGGGAAGGGGGGGAGTGAGAAGGCGTCGATGAGGGAGACGTGGTTTGCTCTTTCGGAGAAGCTTCAGACGAGCCCCTTCTTTGCCGTCACCTGCAAGCTGCACGTGTGAGTGACGCCCTTGAGTGATGCCCTTGAGTGATGCCCTTGAGTGATGCCCTTGAGTGATGCCCTTGAGTGATGCCCTTGAGTGACGCCCTTGTTGTTCTTGTTGTGATGTGAGCACCACACCATACCGTCACAGTCACTGGCAAGCAAGGCAACACAACTCCACTTGCATGGCTGCCTCCACTCCACTTTTTGTTTCCCTTCCCTCCTCTCGTTCGCTCCCCGCGCCTTACCTTGCATGACCCGGGACTGCACTCCTGCTTCTCACCTCCCACAACCCCCACTAAGCCCCGAACCCGGATCCCCCTCCCAGCCTCCTGACACTGCACGCCTCGCTTGCGTCGCTCTTCCTCGCCTTGCATGCCCTCTACCTCCACCTTGCTTCTCACCTCCACCTAATTCCCTCTCTCCCCCTCTCCCCCACCTTCTCCCCCCACCACTTTCCCCCCAGCCACCTACCACTGCACACCTCACTTGCAGCCCTCTTCCTCGCCGCCCACTACCTCCGCCTGCCACTGCTCCCCACCGACATCTGCCACCTGGCACACATCCCAAACCCCCCAGCCACCTTCCAGCCACCTTCCAGCCACCTTCCAGCCACCTTCCACTGCACGCCTCGCTCTTCCTCGCCTTGCATGCCCCTTCACTGCACTCACTGCCTTTCTTCTCACCTCCAGCTATTCCCCTCTCCCCCCCGTAATTCCCCTTTCCCCACTTCTCCCCTCCCTCCCTCCCCCCCGCCACCTGCCACTGCACGCCTCGCTCGCCTCCCTCTTCCTCACCTGCCACTACCTCCGCCTGCCGCTCCTCCCAACCAACATCTGCCACCTGGCGCTCTGTGGCTCTCTCCCCTTGCACATCCACTGCCATTGGCCTTGCCTTGCACGCCCCCTCACTGCACTGCACTGTACCGCACTCTTGCTTCTCACCTTCCATAATTTCCCTCCCCCCCTCACCCCACGCCCCCACCCCCCCAGCCACCTGCCACTGCACGCCTCGCTCGCTTCCCTCTTCCTCGCCTGCCACTACCTCCGCCTGCCGCTCCTCCCAACCGACATCTGCCACCTGGCGCTCTCCGGTTCGCTGCCCTACCTCTCCGCGTGGCGACAGCTGCCGCCCTTCCAGGGCTACCCGGCCAGCGTCCCCCCCGCCACGCTCTTCCGTCCGCTCGCCCTCTGCTCCGCCCGTCTGCTCGAGCTGCTCGCTGCCTCTGCTGCAGCCTCTATCAGTCTGTGCCTGCCCCCTCTCAACTTCCGCCTCATTGGGGAGCGCTTCCTGCAGGTGCTTGCTGGATGCTGAAGGGTTTGCTGTAAGGTTCTGCTTTAGTGAAAGGTGCACAGCTCTTCCGCTATGAGTGAAGACCCTCTCAACTTCCGCCTCATTGGGGAGCGCTTCCTGCAGGTGCATGCTAGATGCGCCCTCTCTCACTCGCTTACGCCTGCGTGCTATCAGGTTGAGCGGGCAGCGGTGATCACAATCCATTCGAATTGGGCTCTCAATGCTCAAGTCGTGTGTCCCTCGTGTAAAGTCACCTCTCCTGCCCCGATTATCTTTCTCTCACTCTCTTCCCCTCTCCCCAACTCCCTTCCCTTCCGTTTTCTTCCAAACCCCAGCCTCACCCGCCTCTGCATTGCCCCCTCCGTCCCTCTCCCCCTCCTTCCCACTCTCCCCTCCGCCCCTCTCCCCCCTTCCTTCCCTCTCTCCCCCTCTGTCCCGCTCCTCCCCTCCGTACCCCTCCGTCCCATCCCTCCCTCCCGGTGCCCCTCCTTCCCACCAGGAGCTGCACCTACCAGTACCGCTCTTCGCCCCTTTCCTGCACCGCCTCTTCGACCTCCTCTGCCCGTCCTCCTCCCTCTCCCCGTCCCTCCCATCCCTCCTCCCCCGCTTCCACCTCTCGCCCCGCCCCTCCGCATGGCCCACGCGCCTCTACGTCATGGCAGCGGTTGTTGTCTCCCTCAAGCTCGCCCTCGCCCTCGGCTCCTGGCCCTGCCTCAACCCGGCAGCATCCACGGGGGGACCCTGCCTCAACCCTTCGTCTTCATCTTCCACACGGGCAGGGGCATCGCCAACACGAGCAGCACCAGCAACAAGAGCATCGACAGCGGCAGCAGCAGCAGCAGCAGGAGGAGGAGGAGAAGGGGGGGGTGGTGCGGCGGCGGTGTGCAGAGCTGCTGCGGCTGCCCCGCGCGCCACAGTGTCGCTGGCGCGGGGTGCAGTGTCGGGGTGGCAGCACATGCTGCAGCAGCGCAAGCGGAGAGAAAGGGGGCATGGCCTGGCAGCAGAGGGGTCGCTGGCACGGGGGGCGGAGTCGGGGTGGCAGCACATGCTGCAGCAGCGCAAGCGAGGCGAGGCGCGGCAAGGCAAGTCAACAGAGGGGTCCCTGGCCGGCAGGGTGGGCGAGGGCCAAGGTGACGACAGAGGGGAAAAGGAGAAGGGGGAGGAGGAGGGGGAGGAAGGGGAAGGGGAGGAGGAAGGGGAGTGGGATGTGCGGCGGGTGGTGCAGGCAGTGGAGGGCAGCCGGCAGCAGCTGCTGCAGATGCCCATGCAGACCCGTGCTGGGGCACGCAGGGGGCGCACAAGGGAAGAAGGGGAGGATGGAGCAGAGGGACGAGGTGAGCCACTGTTGCACGGGCGTCAGGGGTGAGGTGTGAGGGGTGGGGTGTGAGGGGTGGGGTGTGAGGGGTGGGGTGTGAGGGGTGAGGTGTGAGGGGTGGGGTGTGAGGGGTGAGGTGTGAGGGGTGGGGTGTGAGGGGTGAGGTGTGAGGGGTGGGGTGTGAGGGGTGGGGTGTGAGGGGTGGGGTGTGAGGGGTGGGGTGTGAGTGGTGTGGTGTGAGTGGTGTGGTGTGGGGTGTAGGGTGAGGGGTGGGGTGTGAGTGGTGTGGTGTGAGTGGTGTGGTGTGGGGTGAGTGGTGGGGTGTGAGTGGTGTGGTGTGAGTGGTGGGGTGTGAGTGGTGTGGTGTGAGTGGTGGGGTGTGAGTGGTGGGGTGTGAGTGGTGGGGTGTGAGTGGTGGGGTGTGAGTGGTGGGGTGTGAGTGGTGTGGTGTGAGTGGTGTGGTGTGAGTGGTGGGGTGTGAGTGGTGGGGTGTGAGTGGTGTGGTGTGAGTGGTGTGGTGTGAGTGGTGGGGTGTGAGTGGTGGGGTGTGAGTGGTGGGGTGTGAGTGGTGGGGTGTGAGTGGTGTGGTGTGAGTGGTGGGGTGTGAGTGGTGTGGTGTGAGTGGTGGGGTGTGAGTGGTGGGGTGTGAGTGGTGTGGTGTGAGTGGTGGGGTGTGAGTGGTGTGGTGTGAGGCATGGGGCGTGCGGGGCATGAGAGGCTAGAAGGTCGGGAAGTTAGGAAGGCCGCACCTGCCACTTTTGCCCTCGCTTGCTCTCCATCCCTTCCCTTCTGCCTTGCATCGACACCCTGCCCCCCCACACCCCGTCGTTCCCTGCATGTCTGTCTTATCTCCTGCCATTATCACCCCTGCCGCACTCACTCCCTTCCTCGCCTCTACTCTCTCGCCCCCTCTCCCCCTCTTCCCTGTTCCTTGCCCCGGCAACCCCCCTCCTCCTCTCCCCACCCTTGCACCCGCAGCACCGCTGCAGCTGAGGCAGTACCTGCAGCACTGCGAGCGGCACGTGTTTGCCCCCGACGCCACGCGTGGCGCCGACCCCTCCACGCTCGACCGCGACTTGCGCGCCCTCCTGCACTCCGCCCTCCTGCATGCCGCGCTCCCCCCGCGGCCCCCCTCGCCGCCCGCAGCTCATGGGAGCGGTGTAGACGTGGGGATGGACGAGACGGCACATGCGCAGGGCCGATGGGGAGTGGACGGAGGGAGAGGGGAGCGGGTGGACATGGAGACGTGTGGCGAGGAGGGAGAGGAGAAGGGAAGGGGGAAACGGAAACGAATGAAGGGGGAGAGGGGTGAGGGGCAGGGGGAGAGGGCTCGGTGGTTCCCGGTGCGGGTGGAGGACGTGGAGGCGGACATGCGGCGCTGTGACTTCGCCATGGCTCCCCCTCTGCCCCAGGTAAGTGGAATTAGCCTGGTTAGGTGCTGGAAACGGAAGCGATTGAGTGGGAGATGGCTGAGTGGGAGAGGGCTGTGGGGGAGAGGCTGAGGGGAGAGGGGTGAGGGGGCGAAGGCTGAGGGGGAGAGGGGTGAGGGGGAGAGGTCTTAGTGGGAGAGGTCTGAGTGGGGAGAGGTCTGAGTGGGGAGAGGTCTGACGGGGAGAGGGCTGTGGGGGTGAAGGCTGAGGGGGAAAGCATTGAGGGGGAGAGCGCTGACGGGGAGAGCGCTGAGGGGGAGAGCGCTGACGGAGAGAGGGCTCGGTGGTTCCCGGTGCGGGTGGAGGATGTGGTAGTATCGCAGGTGTTATGGTAGTATCGCAGGTGTTATGGTAGTATCGCAGGTGTTATGGTAGTGTCGCAGGTGTTATGGTAGTGTCGCAGGTGTTTGTGACATGTTGAAATGCGGCACTGTGACTTTGCCATGGCAGCCCCACTGCCCCAGGTGCTGACAGTGCTGCTCTGCCTCAGTTCTGCTCTGCCTCAGTGCTGCTCTGCCCCAGTTCTGCTCTGCCTCAGTGCTGCTCTGCCCCAGTTCTGCTCTGCCTCAGTGCTGCTCTGCCCCAGTTCTGCTCTGCCTCAGTGCTGCTCTGCCCCAGTTCTGCTCTGCCTCAGTGCTGCTCTGCCCCAGTTCTGCTCTGCCTCAGTGCTGCTCTGCCCCAGTTCTGCTCTGCCTCAGTGCTGCTCTGCCCCAGTTCTGCTCTGCCTCAGTGCTGCTCTGCCCCAGTTCTGCTCTGCCTCAGTGCTGCTCTGCCCCAGTTCTGCTCTGCCTCAGTGCTGCTCTGCCCCAGTTCTGCTCTGCCTCAGTGCTGCTCTGCCCCAGTTCTGCTCTGCCTCAGTGCTGCTCTGCCCCAGGGGCTGTTGTGCTCTGCTCATGTATCGCAGGAGTCATGCAGGTGGCACAGTTGTTTGTGACATGGTGTCATGTGTCCTGAAATGATATCAAATAGTGTCGCATGTCTCATTCTTGTTGTGATTCATGATTCTTCTGTGATTAGTGATATCAGTGAAATTGGGGGTGGGGGTCAGGCATGGTGATCAATGGAGTTCGGGCCTCCACCTTGGAAGCCTAAGCCACTGTGGAGAGATGCAACATGGAGCACCGAGTTCTTCCAAATGCATGCATCGACCCAAGCAGCCCCGTTACCATTGCCATATCAAGTCATACGCCTTGCCTGCCCCATGCTCTTCTGGGCCAAGATCCATGCGTCACACTCACCCAAGCCCCCTTTTCCCCCCACTCCTCTCCTCCCTCACCCTTTACCCCCGAATATCTTCCCCTGCGCAGCAGTGAGCTGCGCAGTGCCCGCGGGAGCGCATGCCGTTCATCACACCCACTTGAGCCCCCTCCCTCCTCCCCCGCCCCCTCCCTCCTCCCCCGCCCCCTCCACTTCCCCACCCTCCCCCACCACCCCCCCAGCCCCTGCGCAGCAGTGAGCTGGTGTTCTACGAGCGCCCGTTCTGCACCATGGAGCTTGAAGATGCGATTGTGGCTGTGGAGGCTGCGCAGTGCCCGCGGGAGCTGTGTTGCGCCCTCACGTGTGCTGGTACACATGTCGCTCATCACACCCATTTGATCCCCCTCCCTCCTTCCTTCCCCCCCTCCCCTCCCCTGCCCTCTTCCCTCCCCCCTCTCTCCCCCCTCCCCACCCCCCCGCCCCCCAGCCCCTTCGCGGCAGTGAGCTGGTGTACTACGAGCGCCCGCGGGCGCGCATGCCGTTCCACGAGGTGCATGCCGACCTCTTTGTGCTGCTGCGAGCTGCCGCACGCGTGGCGCGCGTGCATGTGAGGGCGCTGCACTTCTGCACCATGGAGATTGAAGATGCGCTCGTGGCTGTAGAAGCAGCCTTGCAATCCAAGTGACTTTTGAGTCGACTCACGAGTCACATTGCGAGCTGCAGCACGCGTGGCGCGAGTGCACATGAGGGTGCTGCACATGTGCACCATGGAGGTCGAGGATGCACTTGTGGGTGTGGAGGCCCCCTTGGTATTGATTAACAACTGAACGAGGCCTTCTTACTGGTTTTCTTGACGACGGTCCAATCAGATCGATTGTTGATGAAGATTTCAGAATTGGCATGCCTCAGTACTCCACATCAATCAGAGTACTCGTCCACAAGTGCAGTCCCCACGTGTATGTAACGAGCTTACATGAGTCGAGTTGACATCATGATGACATAAGCGGCACCAAGTGGGAAATCTGCCGAGTTGTGCCATTTCGGACGGGAGTTTCTTGTGTGAAAATTCGCATTATTTCTGCCAGGTATTAGTGACTGTTTGCGTGACACCACCGCTTACCAACGCGTGAATTTACATATATAGCGTACCATAAGTTACCCGAGGCCATTTTTTTCACTGACTGCATATTTTCCACCAAAAAATAATAGTACATGCTGTCAGTGTTTCGGTGTAAGTTCCGAACCACTTCGGTCGACACTTTTGCAACGAGGAATTCCCGGCATTGGGAAATGTAGAGTGCTGTTGGACAAGCTGTGGGAGTGATCCAAAAAGAATATCGCTGATTCGCTTGCTTCACAGCGCGTCAGCTTGAAGTGCTCAACGTATCGACACGTGCCACCTTCCCTGTTGGCACATACCTGAGCGATTATTGGTCAAATACACCCTGTTCTCGATAATTGCACACCCCCTACTCCTTTTTTTCCTGGGTACCCTTCACGATCTTTGACTTGATGCGACGAACACCCAGAAATTGAGGGACTATTAGTAAACAGCGAAATTGACGGAATCCAAGAAAAAAACTCGCACTTGATGGTTGTGTTCGGGCCTACAGTTCGCGAGTACGTCGGATCCTCCTCCGCGGTCTTCAACTTCCGCAAGAAACTACCCTACGAAAATGATGAACATAGGGTAAATACCTCAGGGTGTGCGATTAACCCCTGTGAAATAATCGAGAACAGGATGTAGCTATCTTTGGCATTCTCCACTGCCAACCAAAACAGCATTTACTTCTTTTTTGTTGTGCTCCGTAACGGGTCACATTACAGAATCCCAGATGCGGGATTGCCGCGGTGTCACAAACGTTTCACCACTCAAATCTTCCAGACACGCATCAGTTGTGACGCGTGAACGACCCGGGGACAACATCAGCTGCAATCCAATTTAGCCAGCGCGGTTCGCAAATGCGATCCCCAGTGGAAGAAGCTGAGTCGTTATCTGCCCGCGGTCAGAAAAAAATAAACCCCATCTGGATGGCATGCGATTAGGGGAGCCCCAACCCTAAACACGGGGAGCCCCAACCCTAAACACGGGCAGCCGCATAATTCTGCCCGAAAATATCGCATTTGCAAACACGCACTGGGAAGATTGGATCGCAGTTCGAATTGACCGTACGACCCGAAATGTGGGTGTGAAAGGGTGTCCAGGTGTGTTAACAAAGGGGTTGGGTGGGGTTACCAGTGCTGACGTGCCCTGCTGGCGAGTGCAGTAGGTTGTCACGATCTGACAATGGAGGGAGCAAGATCAACGTCGTCCTCGACACAATTTAATTACGTGCCATTCGAAAATAAATTGTGTGACATTATTGGAAATCTTTTGCAGCTGTTCCTTCTCCTGTAAGTCCTCTTGCCCTCATCAGTCTGCAAGTTCCGGTCAGAGCAGTTGCCCTTAATGTCCTGCATATTTTGAGGTACGTACGGATAAACACGACCGTTTAAGGGGTTGTCAAAAGAAGACCCATGACGGTTCGGGTTGCTTTTGGCCCTTTTCCGGAGTCGTTAAGGGCTCGATATGGTCCCTCCCCTGTTCTAAGTGTTCATTTCATTACTTGAGGCCCCCCGCTCCCACCTCTTAACAACCACACCGTCCTCGCCCCCCCCCCCCCCATCCCCGAAATTGCACTAGAGTGCACAATCACGTGTGTGCATAGTGGTGGAGTACCCTAAGATGCGGCATGCACTATACACTAGTTGGAGCGACTTAGCATTAAGCTGACATCGAAATTCTGTTTTTCTAAGCGCAAGTACACTCCTCTCCTGCGCCCTGATTTTAGGTGTGCCTTGGCAAGCTCTCGTGACCGTTAAGGGCGAGAAAAGGTTCACCTATGTGAAAAAAGGGGATTTTTTTCGAGCAGCTCGGGGTTCCAAGTGCTTGTTCCAAACACTTCGACAGGTCTGGTTCCTATGCCCTCTTGGTCACATCGGTGGGATGCTCTTGGGTACAGTTCTCTTTGCAGCGGGATTGCTGGCTGTCATTTCGGGGAGCTCGTGAAACATTTTTCATCAGTCCTCACATTCACCAGCTCCACCGTAATCCCCATCCCTCTACTGTACGCCAAACGTTCAACGCGGTCCAGAAGAATAGTTATGGCGATGCGTCAGCCATGCACTGCTGGCAACCAGACCTGCTCTGGTTTGATCCAAGGCTCATAGTGGCTAGACCTAATTTGTTTAGCATGGCCGTTCGGCTTTGAGAGACCCACGATGGACGATGGTCGGTGTATCACGTCACGTGCCTAAAGCAGTGCGTTCTCGTGCTTGTGAACAGTCCGGATTCTGAGGCCGCGCTGGCACCTGGCTGGTCCAGAATAACGCGTTTTGCAGCCGCAATGGGTTCCGGAAAATTTAGGGTCGCAGTCGTAAGGACACCTTCCAGATATCATATGCACATATCCTTCGTTTCCACAGTTTCCAGTCGCGTCCAGAAATTACACTTGCGCCGGAACTAGTGCGTTTAACTCAGCTTCGTGATTTTGTGTTCCTGGATCAAAGGTATTCGCATTCAGTGCGGCAAAGCACTGTTGAAACTGTGCCCAACTTCCTCGTCGAATTCCAGTATTCCTGGAAACCTCAGGAACAGTCATTTCCCAGTACCTACGGCTTTAGTTGTAACTCTTGCTGTATACCACTCCATGGGCCAACAAACTGATCCCTTTTATGTGACACTGTGTACTATACTCTTTGAGGACTCGGAATATAAAGGGTATACACCATGGATCCGGGTTTCTCCACGCGAAAAGCTCGAATCTGGGTGCATCCGGGATTGTGGAACCGAATATCTCGCCCTGGTACCTCTCAGGCCGAGGGAACCTCTCAGGTTTGAGGGACAGGAGCACCATTCCGTAGCATTTAGTTCAAGCGATCACCAATGAAGGCCTCATTTCAAACCCACATCTCTCACTCTCTGCTTCCAAACATCTTTCACTCTCTCCTTCCAAACATCTATCACTCTCTGCTTCCAAACATCTCTTCATCTGCCGCATGATGGGACGCGCGGCTATTCTCTTGATCGTCCTTCTTTGTAAGTAGTAGTACAGCTCTTGCCTCTCCATGCTTCCTGCCGCCTCCAGAAGCCACGTGGGGCGGCTTACCTTTTCTAACATTGCATTTCCCGTCAACTGTGGCCCGCCGCCCTCCTCATGTCCTTATTCTTCGTGCCTCGCCCCG